GTGCAGTCGAACATTCCGGATATTTGGAATCCGTAGTCCCTATCAATTAAATAAGTCATGGCTTTTCTTATAATTTGGTTACCTAAAGTTCGCAAAACAAACAACCTTCGATTTACAGAAAAAGCACAATTCATATAGGTCATATCTCCTCCCACACAAATGCTGCGATTTGTTTTTTTATATCATATACTAATTCAAAGCTTTTGGCTATCCCTCATAATCTCTAGGAAATCACTCCAGAGTGCGCAGAACTGCACTGCTATTGTAAACTCTTGCCATTTACTTAGTCTGAATGTGTTTAAAAAATGGAAAAATTCCGAAAATTCACTTTTTTAAAAGATAGTGAAGGCTGCGTCGTGACATATGTTTCCCACTCATAGAAGCCTGGTGTTCTTTAGAGCATCCGAAAAAGAAACCATCACAGAAAAATACAATAATCATGACGGGATTTCAATACGGATTTTTAAGTATATGCAGATACTCCATTTGCCTATCAATAAACCTAGAATTGTCCGTTTTCACAGCTAATTTCAACATATGTGCCTGTTCAACGCCGAAGAGACACTTTTGATTAGTATATTTGGAATGTACGAGATTGGATAATATTCTGACAAACATCCTTTTGCTGAACTAGTTTCAAATGACAAAAATTGCCACTTGGCCATGTTTTTCATCCAAAGACCTTGATCTCTAGGCAAACAAAGCTGCTTTTACGATGATGCATCCGCGAGATAAGAGTGTGATATGGCAGAGAGAAGGGCACTTTCTGAATATAATTTGTTATGCTAAAGCAACCCTGGTACACTGGAGACGCAGAGCAAAGTGCACATTCAAAAGGAAGTCCGAGGTTTTGGCGATAACAACTTACAAACAATATACAGGCAAAACAACACTGTATTTCGCCTGTGTCATACGTGTACGCCTGCGTTTTCGAAAAACGATCATTGGGAAATAGCAAATCTTTTTGACTTTCGTGCAACAGTCGACTGAGGTAGATGACCTGGAGATAGATTTAAGTTCGAAACCTCAAGTGTCACAGCTCCTAACAACTGAACACTTTTCTGCTGAGTAAGATTCAGACTTACGGTTTTGTCAAAAACTTTGCTCAGGTTGTGGGTTTAATGTTAAATATTGAGTTTTCCAGTTTTTAAGTACGCTTAGCGTCAGAAATGGCGTTCGGTTGAAGTTCGGTTTGCCGCAAATGGTCCACAGGCAAGGCCTAACTTGGCCGGTTGTGACAGCAGGCAGACTGCCTTGGAGACTCCCTTAGAGTAGGCCGTGCTGATCCAGAATTCGGCCACTGCCTATTTGCCCGGTACCTGTTTTACTCAAAAACGGCTTGGGCATTTGCTGACTATGAAGAAGTTTACATCATTTGTCACTGGCGTGCTGCTATGTTCCTCAACCCTTTGTAATGAGTTGCGGACACATTTACGCTTGCAAGACGGTGGTAACTGTTGAAGTGTGGTATTTGTCTTGTATCGGTGGCACTCTTACGAACTGTATTTTGCAGTATCTCGGGTGCACGCCGCCACAGAAGAATATCGAGTAGGAGACGTTGTTTACTTGCATAGGCTTCAAATGCAAACTGGATTTTCGGGTCGACCAAGTTTAGTAATTCCTTAGGGTAATTAGTGAGGATGGTTTTATAAATGACGAAAGTGTCCTAGAACTAAAGGGCTTAACACTGCAACAGTTATTGTGTCAACATCAGAGTCTCTATATGTGAAAAGGTCACTTTGGCCATAAAGCCTTATAAGGAAGGCCGGGCTGAGTTCTATAAATATCTTTATGTATCTAATAATAAGAATCGAAGTACAGTACATGTGTTATCTCATGAAATGTCAACCAAAATGTTAAAATGTTTTCCATTTGAAAAGATTGCCGACTTTCGAACGAAATTCTTTCTGGCCACCGTACTATTTGTATGCATTTTCCCACTACTTTACGATGTTCTTTTAAACCCAAACATGACGTATAGAAATGGCGAACAAAACTTTTCTTTCCTCTACTCGTTTGATAGAAAAGTATGCGTTCTTTAATTTTTTGCGTGAAAACAGGTTGCACTGCGATTTATAGAAACTTTTTTAAATTCCCGAATAAGTTCGAATCCGATCTTTAGCTAAACCTGCATTTGGGGTTTCCAAACTGCAAGTTGTATATTTCCATGCATTTCTACTTTATATTAATAAGATGTCATATAAATGTCATAAAATCTGCCAGCCGATGTAGACCGCGTCGTATACTTTAGAAGCAGCTTAAATAAATTCGTGGATTCGATGGTTTATAATGTAATATTTTACGGTCTTAACAAACCCCAAAATTAGAAATTATTAAAAACAGAAAATGTCCTTTTCTCAATCATATACTTTGAAAAAAACGTAAGCTGCCACTAAAAAAAAACGAAAAGAATATTTCCGCATATGTATTTTAATCTACAGAAAAATCAAAACTCTGCATGGAAATATTACCTTACTTATGTGGTCATTTTTGTACAGAGTGCAGTATTTGCAGACGAACGGATAGAAGCCCGTTCGAGAGTCAGCATCCTAACCCAAATAAAACATCTTGGGATCATGCACCATGATCAGTGTTATAATCATATCTGAGTAATATTTTCTAATCAAGAACGCAATTCAGAATTTTTGCCAACATTTTAGGAGATAGCATATCTGCTGTAAATTTGGAGACGATGGCGTCGAAACTCGAAGAGCCACTTGACTTTAGATGGCTTGCCTCTAGCGTCGCAGCACTTAATCATATGTCGACACACAGTCCTCGTTCGTTGTTATGGAACGTCAGGGAATTTTGAAGTGGCAACAAAAGATGCCATATTAAATTTGACTCTACCGTCAGGTGTTTTATCTGCTAAGCACATTCGTCAGTAGAACCTATCGGTTTTTGTGAGCATTCGATCAGAATCTTCGGGTGGCAAACTGCCGCCGCGAAACCACGTGTAGGTGTAAAATGGGCCTAAGCGTCTCCATACATGGCATTCGAATGTATAGTTGGGCTAAGTAGATGTTGGACATTCAGCATTTCTGACAGAAGGCTCATCAAGGAGGCTCTCACCAAACAATCGGGCCCTTGAACATTAAAACATATGGTGAAGGAACAGATGCAACTACTCGGTAACTTTTTTCCTGAGCATCTGGACAATTTAAATTTCAGGTAAAGTCTGAAAAACTCAACACCTTAGCTGTAAACCAAGATGGTTAGCTCGTTTTTGGAAATGACTCCTTTCTAGTACACTTGGTCATAACTGTTTGATTTTAGGTTTAAGTCATGTTTTTTGGGACTGAATCATCTGCGGAGTAAGTGTCAAAATTTGGGACCAACATCGGTTTGTCAAATTCACTAAAAAACTAAAGGGTACCGGGCTCTTGTATGCAGATGTATGGACAATTTCATACCATATTAAAAAAACTGCTTTTGAACTGAAAATACAGTGAAGTTTTTGTGAGTTAAGATAATGCTCTATTTTCTAGCTCATTACTCGCCGGTAATAGTGTGTAGGGGTGTGCAGTTATGGGTCCATGTAATGACCGGAGTAGGTCGCTCACATGCTTGCAGGTGCTGACTACGCCTGCGTCCACTAACAGGCACCCAATTCTCACCTGTGGCTCCTCGAAACTAGGCTCCGTCTAACGGCCGTGGAACGGCGGGCTAAACGAGGTGAGGGTATCCGTGTGTGTAAGTCCACACACAGTCGCTGTGTTCTCTTTCCCATACACCCTTCGACCTTCTCCTCACTTCTTTCCCCCCCCCCTTCTCCTCCTCCCCTCTTCCGCCTCTCCCCCGCCCTTCCACCCCTTCTCCTTTCCAGTCCTCACATTTTCTCCACTGTTCTCCTCCCCCTTCTCCCCTGTGGCGGTTAAGGATGTGAGATCAACTTAAACGACGCACAATAAGTTCGTTTCGTCTACTGTCAGAAGTCAGGGAGCTGTGAGGACTAGTTTATTCTGTACACAGGGCAGGTTGCCGTATGTTGGCGGTTTGCTTGCAACAGAGAAAAGCGCCCGTTCACGGAGAGCGTCAGTCGCGGTGAGTGTGCTGTTTATGCGGGAGTGCGTCTTGGTCAGCAGGAGGGGTGACTGGCTGAGTGTTGGTCGAGTGATTGGACAAATTAGGCGAGGAATAAGGGGCGCATGTACACAATGCCTCACGGGTATCAAGCCAGGGCGTTAGACGCGCGTGAGGTGATGAAAGTTTGTGGGGTCAGCCGACAGTCACTGAAGTTGGACCGGAGGTGTCTGAGTGTTAGCCGGCAGGGGGCGGCTGTGTGTCAACAGCTTTCGCG